GCAACAAGAGGTCCCAGCACAAACTCAAGTGCATGTGTCAAAAAGAAGAAAAGCACCGGAAAACATGCAAGAAGACAAGAAAGCAAGACAACAAGAGAAATTGCAGTCTAGCCTAGCTTCTTCTTTTCTTTTAAGCACGGTGTAACAAGGAGATCGGTAAGCAGTGGTAATAGCATGCAACAACAGTAACATTGCAGTCCTACGGTAGTCCCAGCTACCAAAATTTCCCGAACTACATTGACTTGATTCCTGTTTAGCCCAGGATATGTAGGAAACCTTTGAAGCAAAGGTTCGGTTAAATCTTTTTCAAAAAATGCTTCACACGGAGTACTCGGATAGGCAAAAATCGCTCGCTTCATCTTTGCACGAAAACCCTTCGTATTTTCGGGCAAAGAGGGGCAGCTGTAGACGTGTGATTTTTGACCCTCCCCGAGAATTTTTGCATATTTAGCCTAAATATTTAATTTAGGTCTAATATAGCTATTTCAACTATTTTTGACTTCTTTACTTTATTTTCGTCACAAAAATGAAAAAAAATTACAAAAAAAAGATATATAAATTTTAGTTCATGTATTTCTCATAAACTCTAAAAATACAAAAATAGTACTTTATATTTTTATCTTTATATAAAAACGAAAATTACAAAAAAAAAAAACAAATAGTTTCATTAATGTTTTGTAGTCATTTTTATCTTGAAAAATATCCAAAAATAGTTTTGTTTTAATTATCACTCTCTGTTTAATAGTTATTTTGCTTGCGTAGGATTAATTAAATAAGGTCGTGTTTTTATTCTCGGTTACGGGGAAGGAATAATATTTGGGTTCAAACGACCTATTTTTAGGCCCAATACCTACTAACAAACCCTAAAACCTAGACTTATAAATACATCGACTCTTCAGACAAGAGACACGGACAAGGGGGACCTCTTCAGACTTTGGAGATAAAAAGAGAATACAGGAACGAAGAAGGAGCGGAGGAAAAGGCAGCAAAGCTGCGCATGAAGAAGCAAAGCTTCTTGGTTTAAAGAAGCTGAAAAAAAAGCAGCGAAAAGCTGCGCATGAATAATGAACAGAAAAAACGACCCCTATATTCTCGTTTTCTTCACGCCATCCATCATCGTCCACCTCTATTTTTCGTCGGCAAACAAAACTCCATTTCAGCCGAAGAAATACCTTCCCCTACTGTGAGAACGGAAGTCGTTTGAGGGGTCAGTAATCATCTAAAACTCGAAGGCGCCGTCGAGTTCGTTGTTGAGAAACTCCCTTCGTTTGAGGTTGTCAGAGCTCAGGTCGTGGTCCCTTTTCAGGCCAAAATTTGTTGCCGATTTCTAAGCTGTTATCCATCGGCCGAGTTCTAATTGGAAGTCTGCGTGCTATTTGAGCTGTAGAATCGCTGCTGTTGTTTGTTCCTCTCGTTGTTGTCCTGTTGATTCACCCGTTCCTCTGTTACTATTCCGTCATTTAATCTTCTACTACTGTGCTGCCATTGTAGGTGAGTCTGACGTTTCTCTATTGTCCTCTATTTAGTTGAAGAATGTTTGAGTGATAATGCTATAGACATGTGAAATCTGGTGGAATTCTAATGTTTTTGAATATCAAAATACCATGTTTTATTCCAATGGTAATTGTGAAGCATTTGTTGAATTCACTTCGGATTGGGGTTCTGTTGATTGGTTCCAATTCATGAAAGTTACAAATGTTAGAAATCATTTTGTTAGTGATATCACTGCTCCAAAGTTAAAATCACTGTCGTTGGCTGCGGAAGTTGCACTTGCTTTGCTGAGTTCTATATCATTTAACATCTATTGTATTCTGCTTCTCCTCTCATTCTTAAAGGTACTGTCCCACAAAATTTTGCTCAAAGTTTGAATATGTTAGAGATTTAATGTATGCATTTGATTTTATTGTGATGAGTAGTTGATTGTTTGGTTTAAAGTTCTGAACAAAATAATGTTTTGTTTCATATTAATCCATAAATAAATCCTTTGCTGTTTTTGGCCAATTTCCTTAAAACGATTTGGTTATCCTTAGTGGTTTAGTTCCATAGGAAATGTATTCCATGTATAGTTTAGTGTTTGGACCCATATTGAAATAAGCTTGAGTAATCTGCAATTGGAGGAGCAATTACAGTAGAAGCAAGTAGAGCAAATGAGTTGGTCTGAGAGTTTGGCTTTATTTGTAATCCAAGTAGTCTAGTCGTTCGCCATAATAATCGTTTGCGAATCTGTTTGAGGAGGTGCGACTCGGCTTTATCTTTTCTATTTTCATAATAATCATTCGTGAATCTCTTAACTTCAGGAACAATCTCAATGGTAGTTTAGGAAAGATATAGTTTATGACCTCGAAAACTTAGTTTGAATTTCCTTTAGAATTGGAACTGAGGTGCACCGCGCCAAATAAAATCTCAAATGCGTAGCCCTCATTTAACTATTTCTTTTAAATCCGTAGAATTCGAGGCGCGCCATTTAACAAATTTCCATAGCCCTCGCAAAGTTAAAACGCGTTAGTTGCTTTAGGTCCGCTATTTAAATAATTTTACCTTCCTAAATACGGGTGCGCATTTATGTGACCCAAATCCAAATCTCGACGAAGTCGAAATACGTTGATAACCACGGGTGCATTGATTGCGACGTGGTTCGAAACGCGTTTTCACGACGTCGCAATTCTTTTAAAATAAATAATGATAATAAGCGGTTTCACAAGTAAAAGGCACATAAGCTAGCATGTATTAAAATCAGATAAAATCAAATACAACGGTTAAGCGACTGTGCTAGAACCACGGAACCCGGGAATGCCTAACACCTTCTCCCGGGTTAACAGAATTCCTTACTCGGATTTATGGTACGCGGACTGTTAATAGAGTCGTAAATTTCCTCGGTTCGGGATTCAACCGGTGACTTGGGACACCATTAATCTCTCAAGTGGCGACTCTGAATATTAATAATTAAATCCCGTTCCGATTGTCCTTTAAATGGAAAAACTCATTTACGCCTCTTCCGGGTGTGTAGTAAAAAGGAGGTGTGACATGTACTATTGGGGATTATGACTTGGTCCGTCACGATTGATGATTTTACCGCGTATTTGACTAAAAACTAATTGTTATCATCATTATTTGGGTTGAATGCCATATTTGGGCCTAGTGCCAGCTATTTGAACCCTTCGGGGATTGTTGTTGATATTTCCTTACTGTTTTGATTTTATACTTGAACTCAGCCATGTTATTTTCAAAACTCAGCCAAGTTTATTTTGCTTTAACACTTGAAATGATATTTCAAATAACATTTTGGGCTGAGCATCATGTTCTACTGTTGCCTGAGTGGCTTATGTGATTTTTGACTGAGTAAGGCCGAGGGCCTGTATTGTGAGGATACTTTTGGATCGAGCTGCACGTCGCAGCAGTGAGATACTGATTTGATTAATAGGCCGAATGCATGAGATATGTACACCACGATGTGGCTTGTTGATTGATATGAGGCCGAGGGCCTAGATTTGATGCCACGAGATGGCTTGATATTGTTCTTGGGCCGTAAAGGGCCCCTCCAGAGTCTGTACATCCCCAGTGAGCGCGGGTACCCATTGTGATGTGAGATTGAGCCCAAGGGGCTGGTATTATTCTGAGATTGAGCCCGAGGGGCTGGTAATATTTTGAGACATTGCCCGAGGGGCGGATTTGATGACATTATGCCCCAGGGGCGAACCTTATGTGCTTATCTTTTCTTATTTGCCTGCCATTTACCTATTTAAATTGTGTATTTGTGCTCGAGGGGCAGATTTATGTGCTTATCTGCACTAATTGTTTTGCATTCATTTGCATAACTGTTGAAAAAGTCATTTTCAAAGAAGTTTCAAACTGAGCTAAGATGTTTTAAGAGATTTTACAGCTTCACTGCTTTCTTACTGGATTTGAACTGCTTCTATACAGTATCCTGATATGCTTTACGTGATTTCTTACCATTCAGACTTTAGTTATGATTATTACTCACTGAGTTGGAGTATTCACTTTAATCCCTACACCTTGTATGCCGATTCAGGTATTTCTGAACTCGGTAGCGGGTATTGGCTGGTCGGATGCAGAATCATCGGAATTTAGCAAGGTAGTTGCCGACGTTCGCAGCACCACTTTTCTCTCTCTTCATTTCATTAGTTTGTATTTGTACACTTCAGACTTTCAGTTGTATTTATACCCTAGTAGATGCTCGTGACTTGTGACACCCCGATTAGGGCTGCGTTGGGTTGTATTTTTGCTATCTATTATCACTAAATCATGTTTAGACTGCTTTTATATTGTTAAACTATTTTAAAAAGTGAGTTGGGTTTAATTGGCTGGCCTTGTCTTCGCGAGAGGCGCCATCACGATCGGGTTCGGGGTTAGGGTCGTAAATAAGTTGGTATCAGAGCCTAGATTACATAGGTCTCACGAGTCATGAGCAGGTTTAGTAGAGTCTTGCGGATCTAAGAGGTCTGTATTTATCCTCGAGAGGCTACAAAACCTTTATTAAAACTTCACATTCTTCAATTCTAATCGTGCGCCCTTGATTTAGCTTTAAAAGTAACTCTTGAATTCTTTCCACGCATTCGTATGCACGCATGAGCACTCAATATCAGATGTGCCTCGATGGCTTGTGATTCCCTGATCAAGGGGCGAGATGTGATCTCTGTAAGTTGATGTTGGGCCAGTCTGGAGGATTTGAGGCCGGAACTTTGCCTATAGCTTGAGCACCGAGGTGCTGATTGTGTGAACTAGTATTTTTGAACTCATATGTTTGGTAGTGTCCCTACTAGTGGGAGTGACGGTTGGATAACTATGTGATGAGTATGCTAGTACTGCAAGATATATCCATATGATTTGGAGGAGACGAGAAGGGTCTACTAGAGGATAGAAGAACTATTAGGTGCTTGAATTCCATCTTAATTCGAGGTATAGCCCCGAGTTATGGGCGTGTGAAGGATCTTTTCATGATTCCCAGTTATGAGTGAAGTAAATTTCATGTTGCGGTATGAGTTTAGACTCAGGAAGACTAAGTGACTGCGTACAGTTTATGACGGTGGAAGGTATACAGAAATGTTAGTTAGAGGCAAAGCATGTGGGTTGTCTCCTACGAAGTGTTCTGAGGTTGTGCGTTCCTTATGTGTCTGTTAGAAGATCTCATTTGCGAGTGAAAGATATGTGTTGCAATTTAATTGGGTCGCTTAGAGAATGGGTGTAACTGTTGCGAGGGTGGAATGCGAGATTTGCAGAAGAGTTAAAATTCTAGATGATCTATGTTTTCATAAGCTTATAAAAGATTTGAGTTTAATCTCACTATGGTATCATGGCATCAATAAAGTATAATCGTTATGAGTTATTGAGTGTGTGTTGATCTATGGCTTCGATCCAAGTGGGGGAGTCCGCTATTGATTAGGGGATTGCACGGTTAGGTGTTATGGTGAATCAGTTATGGCTTGTGGAAATTGTGACTGAGGATGGCTCGAGTAAAGGAAAATTTTGACAGAGGTTATATTATGCTTCATAGGGTATGAGAATCATGGAATGTCTTGAGTTGTTGGTAATGGATGCTCGGTGCATAGAGCAGGAAGTGGCTTGGTTGTTCTAGGATGAGGTTACACTCAGCGGTGTTGAAGTACTATTGAGGCACGGGTGGTTCTGTTCGTTTGGTCAGGCTAATTGCAATTTGAATAGAGTGAATGACTCTCGAGAATGGTTCTAATGTGTTCAAGATTCTACATGTAAATTGGGGAATTTTAAGGTTGTATATGTGGTTAGAAACTGGGTTTTCATTGGAAAATGTCAAGACTTGTGGTATTTTCTATATTAATTATGGGATTCTATGTATCAGTATCAGGAAGGTAAAGGTAACGGATTTAGATTCGCAGGAAGTTTTCTCAGAGTAAAGTATTTTGAATGTGGTGTTTTTAGGAATATTTAAGAGAGTATTCAACTGCTTATGAGTCTTGGACGGTGTGGTTTTGTGCTTGGGTATCGCGTGGTGAGTCTGGGTTGAGGAATTGTGGCGTTGTAGCAAGAAGACGTATTACGCTAATGGTAGATCAGAGGGAAACTCGGATAGATGGGATAGCGTGGTAGTAGGCCAGATCGGTATGGTAAGGATATGATTAGTTCCTTGGATGTTTACGAGGTAATGAGTCTCTGCAGGTGTTTCGCGGCAATTCTTTTGGGTTTTAGTGACATGCGTAGCTCAGTTGAGTTAGAAGGATTCAGTCCTGATGAGTTAATGTTGTGCAAAAGGAATTCGGGGAGTTCTAGATGGTTTCCACCACAGTTAGAGAGGTATATTTTTCCTATTGGCGTGAGGAGTATGGGATGTATAGTGGTTCTCTTCTAGATGGGACCAATGGGAAGTTCTTGGCTAGTGGAATGCATAGTTGATTGTGGTTCGGAAGGGATATGAAGTCTCATGGTTATCCTAGGATGGTTCGGGTTATGCAGTATGTTGTGAAGGAGTGAGAATCGCGTGTGTAAGGTTGCGGTTAAATTCTAAAAAAAAGGTCACAAACTCTTAGGCGGCGGGCAGTTTTAGACAATTAGAGGAACGAGCTTCAGATAATTAGAGAAAGGGTCTTCGGATGATTAAGGAAATGGTATTGATAATTTGGGGTGATTTGACGAGGGCATATGTTTCAGAAAGGTCAATGTAATTAAGTTGATGATACTTCGGTAGTATTGCGGTATTTTCTTGTTATCGACTGTTGATATTCGAGTTTGCTTGGTGGCGCAGAGGAATTCTAGATTATCTCTCATGGAATGATTGGGTATTTGAGGTGTGGTATGCATTTGGAAAGCGGGATTGGGACCAGATATATTGATTCATAGACCATATGTAGTTGGAGACAGAAAGTTCTCATATTCAGGCTATGTGGTGGTTGTGAGTCGTATGTATCGGCACTGTTTAGTGACTATCGGGATTTGGAGACCCGAGCGAATCTTTTGTTGCTTGGTATGTTAGATTTTGGATGTGATATTGGGTTCAGATTGTTTGTCTCTGTGTGGTGTCATTCTGGACTATTGCGCTAAGGCGACGCTGTTGGCTATGCCGGAAATGTCACAGATTGAGTGGCGAGGTTCGACGGATTATGTCCTAGTAGAGTGGTTTTATATTTCGAAGACCCAGCAGACGGCTGGGAAGGATTATTTTTCTTAGTTGGGTTTTTCGTGATAGATGTTAGTGCAGAGGCTCCTACCATTGATTTAGTTCCGATGGTGAGGGACTTTTCGGATATGTTTCTTATGGTCGGGCATGTCGTCGGGCAAGGTTGTTGATTTTGGTATTGATTTGATGTCGGGCACCGTATCGTATGGCACCGGCAGAGTTAAAGGAGTTAAAGAGCAACTCCAGGATTTTCGTGATAAGGAGTTCGTTGGCAGGCCAATGTGGATGCGTGTTCTAATTTGAGCCGGCTTGGTTGGCTCCGAATTGTACTATTGAGGGATATGTTGATTCGATTGTTATTGAGCTTATTAGTAATCTGGAGAGATCCATGAATTACCTTTCTGTGTAGCGAGATGTTATGATTTGTTGGCTATGGGCACATATTATGCGGTTCTATTGGGGTTTCATGGTGGAAGTCGAGCGGGAAGAGTGACTGGTGTTGCTCGGCGAATGGTGTATCGGTTATGTCCTTTCGGGTTAGTGTGGTGTATGTTATTTGCTTCACCATGGGTATGATGATTTGCTTTGGTTCCAGACATCGAATTGTGCATGGTCGTTGATTTCGAGCATAGTGACTTAAGGTGGTTCATGTGGAGCAGTGTTGGATAGGATCGCACATCGCAACGAAGTTATATGGAGGTATGACCTTGTGGGTTAGATTCGTGTGTTCTGTTCCTATGATGTGAGACGGGTTCTCAGCCTTGTGTTGTGGTGGTACTGGTGAACCTGAGGTACAACTCTTTCATCTGAGTCATTTTCATGATTTGAGTATGTTTGGACTGTTGCGTATTGGTGCGTGTATTGTGCAAGTTGTGGCTTAGGCCTGTATGGATGTGTCATGTCACCAGAGTAATGTGTTGGATTAGAGGAGATCATTGGGGATCATTAATAAATATGAACGGATGCGATTTCAGCATGTTGGAATGATAGTATCGAGCTTCGATTCAGAAATTTGCTATGGTATTTGCCAAGGAAGAAGTGGCTTCATGAATGGTTGATCTAGGAAATGGTTATGGCTTACCGCGTGTCTTAGTGATCATTGGTAGTATATAAAAGTGTTGGTATGAGACTTTAGTTGATAAGAGTTTTTCTATCGGTATGCGGATGTTGTGTGCAACTGCTGTGGTTAGAAGTTATCACTACAAGTCTTGAGTTATGTGGTATATCATGTGATCGCACCGAAGATAGCATATATGGTTTGTTATAGCTTGTTCGTACTTATTCACAGTATAAATGTGAGATTCTGATCGTGTTGATGATTTTAGAAGTGGAAATGCGGTTCTATTGTTTATGGACTAGGATGGATTGTGAAATTTTAGTTATATTGTGTTATCAAACCTATGTGAATAGGGTGACGTGGGGTCACCCCCGGGTATGTGCATGGTGAGGTTATTTAGCAATTGGTTGGCTTTTGGAACAACTCTGGGCACATTCGAGGACGAACGTATGTTTAAGTGGGGGAGGATGTAACGACCCGACCGGTCATTTTGAGCTTTTGCATTTCGCTCGCCAGTTCTCAGGCATGACTTGCCCCGTGTAATGTAATATGACTTATGTAAATAGTTTGTTTTGGTTTTAAGGATAATCGAAATAAACTTGGAAAAATAGTTCCCAGTTTGAAGCTTGAGATTTGAAAGGATTGACCAATATTTGACTTGTTTGTATATGATCTCGGATTAGAATTTTATGATTTGGTTAGCTCCGTAGATGATTTGGGACTTAGGAGCGTGATCGAAATGCATTTTATAAGTCCGTGGAAGATTTAAGCTTGAATTGGCAAAATTGAGATTTCGGCATTTTCCGGTTGATAGGTGAGATTTTGATATAGAGGTCGGAATGGAATTTCGACAGTTGCACTAGCTTCGTTGTGTCATTTGGGATGTGTGTGTAAAATTCCAGGTCATTCGGACGTGGTTGGGTTGGGTTTTTGATCTAAAGCGTAATCTAGAAGATTTTGGGATTCTTAGGCTTGAATCCGATGCAAATTTGGCATCTTAATGTTGTTTGGTGTGTAGCGAAGGTTGGAACAAGTTTGAATGATGTTATGGGATATGTTGGCATGTTTGGTTGAGGTCCCGAGGGCCTCGGGGTGATTTTGGATGGTTAGCGGAGAAATTTGGAATTGTGTTGCAGCAGCTGATATTGCTACTTCTGGTATTTTTGTCGTTGGAATGGCTGCAAAAGCGGACGAGGAGGAATTTGGCAGGGACCGCAGAAGCGGTCAGGATAGCCGCATCTGCGACTGCAGATGCAGAGTTTGTATCGCAGATGCTGATTATAGTCCCTTAAGTGATTTCCGCATATGCGGAGGGTAGACTGCAAATGCGGTACCGCAGATGTGGTTAAAATGCCGCAGATGCATAAAGGCTTGGGCAGAACATATAAGTCATTTTATTTCGCGAGTTTGAGTTATTCCACCATTTTTAACTTCGTCTTGAGAGCTTTTGGACGATTTGGAAGAGGGATTTCAAGGGAACCTCTTTAAGGTAAGGATTTTGGACCTAAAACACATTTCTATGGTAGTATTTCATATATTAAGTCTGAAATTAAATGAATTAAAAGGCTAAAAATGGAGGATTAGGGCTTGAGTTAGGAGGCCTTAAATTGAGGATTTGAGGGGTCATTTGAACTCCGATTTTGGTATTCTTGATATGCATAGACTCGCGGGAAGATGAGGAATCTATTGATGTAAAAATTTCTGAGTTTCAAGAAGTGGGACCAGGGCTCGGATTTTGGTAATTTCGGGATTTGTGCCCTTTGTTGATTGTTTTCGCTTGGGCATTGTTCCCTTAGCATATTTTGACGTACTCGTTCTGATTTTAGATAGATTTGACGCGCGTTGAGGCCGATTCAAGGGGAAAAGGCATCGCGAGCTAGAGATTTAGCCAGTTCGAGGTGAGTAATGATTGTAAATGATGCTCTGAGGGTTTGAAACCCCGAATTGCACATCGTAGTGCTATATTGAGGTGAGACACACGATTGACGATGAGTGTGTGGTCGTGTACTATTGGGGATTGTGATTTGGTCCGTCCTGATTGATGATTTTACCGCGTATTTGACTGAAAACTAATTGTTATCATCATTATTTGTGCTGAATGCCATATTTGGGCCTAGTGCCAGCTATTTGAACCCTTTGGGGATTGTTGTTGATATTTCCTCACTATTTTGATTTTATACTTGAACTCAGTCATGTTATTTTTCCACTGTTTTCAAAACTCAACCAAGTTTATTTTGCTTTAACACTTGAAATGATATTTCAAATAACATTTTGGGCTGAGCATCATGTTTTACTGTTGCCCGAGTGGCTTATGTGATTTTTGATTGAGTAAGGCCGAGGGCCTGTATTGTAAGGATACTTTTGGATCGGGTTGTATGTCGCAGCAGTGAGATACTAATTTGATTATGAGGCCGAGGGCCTAAGATATGTACGCCACGAGGTGGCTTGTTGATTGATATGAGGCCGAGGGCCTAGATTTGATGCCACGAGATGGCTTGATATTGCGCTTGGGTCGTAAGGGGCCCCTCTGGAGTCTGTACATCCCCAGTGAGCGCGGGTACCCATTGTGATGTGAGATTGAGCCCGAGGGGCTGGTACTGTTCTGAGACATTGCCCGAGGGGCGGATTTGATGACATTGTGCCTGAGGGGCGAACCTTATGTGCTTATCTTTTCTTATTTGCCTGTCATTTACCTGTTTAAATTGTGTATTTGTGCCCGAGGGGTGAATTTCTGTGCTTATCTGCACTAATTGTTTTTCATTCATTTGCATAACTATTGAAAAAGTCATTTTCAAAGAAGTTTCAAACTGAGCTAAGATGTTTTAAGAGATTTTACAGCTTCACTGCTTTCTTACTGGATTTGAACTGCTTCTATACAGCATCCTGATATGATTTACGTGATTTCTTACCATTCAGACTTTAGTTATGATTATTACTCACTGAGTTGGAGTACTCACTTTACTACCTGCACCTTGTGTGCAGATTTAGGTATTTCTGAACCCAGTAGCGGGTATTAGCTAGTCGGATGCAGAATCATCGGAGTTTAGCAGGGTAGTTGCTGACGTTCGCAACACCGCTTTTCTCTCTCTTCATTTCATTAGTCTGTATTTGTACACTTCAGACTTTCAGTTATATTTATACCCTAGTAGATGCTCGTGATTTGTGACACACCGGTTAGGGCTGTGTTGGGTTGTATTTCCGCTATCTATTATCACTAAATCATGTTTAGACTGCTTTTATATTGTTAAACTGTTTTAAAAAGTGAGTCGGGTTTAATTGGCTGGCCTTGTCTTCGCGAGAGGCGTCATCACGACCGGGTTCAGGGTTAGGGTCGTGACAAAGACTCAAGGACAAGCTCGATAGGCTGGAGAGGATTGTACGATATGGGGGTAATGGTGGCAGTATAGACGATAGTTCCTTTGACTCTGACGATATGGATGATTAGTTTTTTATTTTATGCTCTTTTTTGGTGTTTTTGTGGCGGTAGTCTATGTTTTTGTGGAAGTATTTGGAATCTGGAAGATGGCTATGTAATTTTATTTTATATTAATATAATATCTTTTTGTTTAAGTCTTTATCTGCCTTACTTTTGATAATAATTCCTCTTCAAATTCAAGAAAAAGCTTAATAATGACTAAACTTTTATGGTTAGATATGTGAAAAAATCAAACAACCCCACATATAGTATTAGAAGCTATATAACCCAATATATAATAATGGAGAGAAGTCTAAAATAGTGCAAAATTGGTATCTAGAACAAGTTAGTGGAATTAAATAATTTAAAATTTTGTTTCTTGTCTGGATGTATATATTGCGAAACCATAATGTCCCTACAAAAGATGTGCACAATTCAGATTTTTTACCCTAAGTTTGACCAATTTATTAATTGAAATAAAGTTGTAAGGATTGAATATTATAATTTTGATGGTGTGTTTTTAAGTATAATATGTTAAATTTAATAATTTTTGTCGATGCAACTTTTGTTGGAGTTCTTATTTTGCTTGTTTTCTGTAAATTATGCTGGAAAAACTACTTATTAAGCCATATGGGCCAGTATATTATTATGGAGATGTGGAAAATAGTGGAAAATTTCCTCTTGAAATTCAAGAAATAACTGAATAATGACTAAACTTTTATGGTTAGATATGTGAAAAAACCACACAATCCCGCATATAGTATTGGAAACTATATAACCCAGTATATTATAATGGAGAGAAGTGTAAAATAGTGCAAAATTGGTATCTAGAACAACTTACTGGAATTAAATAATTTAAAATTTTATTTCCTATATGTTTTGCTGGAGGTATATATTGCAAAACTATAATTTCCAGTATTTTATACTGGATGTTCAGAATCCAGATTTTTAACCTAAGTTTGTTGATGCAATTATTGTTAGAGTTCTTATTTTAGTTGTTTCATGTAAATTATGCTGGAAAATCTAGTTATTAAGCTATAGAGGCCAGTATATTATAATGGAGATGGGTAAGACAGTGGAAAATTTGTATCTACTATAATTTGCTCGAATTAAATAATTTAAAAGTTTGTTTCCTGCATATTACTTTGGAGGTATATCGTTTGAAAGTATTATCTCTCGTATTTTCTACTGAATGTGTACAATGCAGATTTTTTTAGCAGCAAATCAAGAAACAAAAAAATAGACAGTAATAATATTTTGAAAAACAAGAATACCGAATAAATTATTCGGGGTTACAATCACTTTTTCACATGAGCCAATGCAACCTTATTGTATATAATCAATCATTTTTTCCTGTATTTTCTTGCATAAGGATGAACTACAGTAGAATTTGTGCAAATTTGTTTTGTTATGCCCATATTTTTTGCAACGACCACATCTTGGCTCCTTCTTGAATTTTGTACCGGAAACATGTCGATTCTTCTGTCTTCTTCCTAGCATTACTTTTGCATCTGGAAGCTTAGTGATTTCTGATTTAACATTGTCTGGTATAACCCATGTTGTTGAATCACCTACAGAATTTACTTGTCCTTCATATGTTTTCAACCAAAAGTCCTTTGAATAATAGGCCAAGCAAAAGGTCGATTTCTTTTGATATATACTTTCAATTGCAGCAATTGCATGTTCACAAGGTATCACATCTAGCTGAAATTCAGAACAATCTCATGTTCTTTTGTCTATATCAACAATAAACTCCATACCCCCTTCTTTGACATTGAATTTGAGTCGATCAATGGGTAATACTCTAAATGTAAAGGCTGGTTTAATTTTTTCTTCCAATGTTGCTTCTGCCCAATTTGATATCTCACGGAATATTCCTTCTACAGTTGTCCTTCTTTCATAGAACCAGCTTTGCAATTTTTCTTGTATGAAATCCATCATTGTTAAAAGTGGCAATTCTCTTGCACGTCTCAAAACATTATTCATTGACTCAACAATATTTGTTGTTAACGTATCATATCGTCATCTTGGACAATGTGAACGAGCCCATCTTCCTGGTGGTTCCTCCATCAAATAATTGAATGTTTTCTTATCAACAGCAGCTATTTGGGACATGAAGTCATCAAATTCTAATTGAAGGTATACTCTTGCAGCACTTTGAAAGAGGTTTATTACAGTGTTTCTCACTCTTCTTTGCTTTAGATTCTTTTCTAAATTATATATGTAAATGGTAGCACTCAGGGAAAACTTTTGCAATTCCATTTGCAATGGCCTTGTGTCGATCTGACAAAACATTAAATCTTTACGAATCCCAATTGCTTTTCTTAATTCTCTAAAATACCATTCATATGATTCGTTATTTTCTGAATCCGCTACACCAAATGCTATAGGGAAAATCTGGTTATTTGCATCTATTGTAACAGCCACTAACATAACACCTCTATATTTATTTTTTAGAAATGTTCCATCAACAGCAATAAGTGGTCTACAATACTTCCACCCAGAAATTGACGCCCCATACATAAAAAACATGTAAACAAACCTGTTAGATTCAAAAGTAAATAACATTCAATTATACCATATGACAAGCTGAATACTTATAACATAGTGGACAACAAGCTTAAAGACGACAGATTTCCATTAAAATATACTGAAATCAAATAACACTCAAGTATTATATACTGCATTAAAGATCATAATAAAAAAATAAGACAAATAATCACTCAAAAAAAAGTAATGACAAATAAAACAAAGTTCTAGGTTAAACAGAAATCATCCAGAATAATATGCTGGAGAGAAAGCTTACACATGGCAGACGTCCCGTAAAATATACTGGAATCAAACAAAACTCAACTATGTTAAAATATTCATCCAGTATAACATACTGGAGGACCTACATTTACACGAGATTTCAGTATAATATACTGGAAAAAATTTATTATTAAATTCAATAAACAAAAAACATTAGCATAAACCATACTCAAAAGACAGATTTCCCGTAAAAAATATTACACCATATTTATATATGAAGGCCACTATATTACAATCAAACATAAGAAATTTACCTGTTTTCTGAATCTCTCTGAATATTAGTATATGATCCTGGATTTTTTTGTTCGATCATATACAAATATGATGGCAGCTGCTCATAATTCTGTTCAGTTGTTCCTCTTAATAAAGATAACCCTTTTTGAATAGCATGTCATGCTTTTCCATAACCAACATCTATTCCATGTGCTCTTTTCATTTCTGAAAGGACAAACTTAGGCTTTACTTCAATAGCTATGTCCCTTAAGTTGTCAATCATGTAATCTCTAATCACATTTGAAGTTGCTTGTCTTTTATGTGACTTTCTAATATCAACTGAGCACTCATGTGTTCTCTGAAATTTAACTATTTTAAAAAGTGTTGATTCCTTAATTCTTTAACCTTGAACAGTCCAACCACACTTTTCATCAGTACATACCAAAGAGTATCTCGTGTTACTTGACCTCTCAACATAGAACTCAAAGTGCTTCTTTATAGGTGCTAAGCAAAAACATCTAATCATAGCATTTTTGTCTTGAAAAACAGATCCGAGTTTTACATCATCCAATGATGCATTTTCCTTTAGTATTATTGATGGGGATTCTTTTGCCTTTCCTTTTGCTTTCCTTTTTCTTCCTTCAATAGTGTCTAGTGATTCAATGTGTTGATCTTCCATAGGAATTACAATTTCATTTTCCATTGTAATATCATAAATTGGCATCTCCTGCTCTTCTGCTATTTGAGATATAAGCATCACTTGCTCTTCCGGAACATATATGGTTCTGTGCAATAATTGTTGATTGTTAATTTCCATTATTGCATTACCTTCTAGTTGTTGATTTTGCATTTTTGATATAATTTGGAACCTTTATAGTATGGATCGTTTTCTAAAAGCATCATACACAAGGTGAGATCTTCATCTTTTGTCACGTGTATTCCCTTAGCAGTACTTAGGTTGATATTAAGCTATACTTTTGCTTCAAACTTGTTGTTGTCGAACTCTATAACTTGAAAATTTTACTCATGAATTCTTCAAATGAAGTCCCATCATTTATAAGGAGAAGCTTCGTTTTATGATCTAAGTACTTGTAATCTACTGTCCATTTGCCATCGAATGCGATAAGCAAGAAATTTGTATGCATCCTGTATTTAATGAACCCAAATAATTAGATATTTTGAAGTATATTGGTTAAAAATATAACGCCAATATAATAAGCAGGAATTATTTGAGATATTCATATTAATTAAGCAAATTCCAGCTTATTATACTATGTTACTAGAGTCACACATACTTCCAGTATAATATGCTGGAAGTGTCTAAGTTTTACATATTAAATTAACAAACGTCCAGTATTCTATACTGGAGTTTTGTTCTATACCATTTTATTTATAATTTTTATAGTAGTTTGTATGAAAGATACTTCCAGTGTAATACATTGGAGTTTTTTGAGTTTTGCAGATTAATACAAAAAGCTCCGGCGTATTATACTTCCGTTTTGTTCATTTTTGGAATCAAGCACTGTAAAAACATTTTATGAGATATTTTCAGTTTAATAAGCTGGAAGTATCTCAGCTTTAGATATGTCATGACCCGAATTTTCCACCCTCGGGAGTCGTGATGGCGTCTATTAATGGGAGCTAGGCAAGCCAAACCTTAACTACTTGCTATACTTTCATTTTTTTTTGCTTATGTTTAACAAACACAAGGCGA